TTGATTAGTAGAGTGTAAGCATGGGAACCTAACATATAGTTTTAAATTGACCTTGAAGATAGTATAGATGTCAAGAAACTTTACTCAAGTTTATGTTAACTCCAAATTGCAGGGAAAGCAATTTCACTAGCAGTTCTCCAATCGGTGCGCTGTCATTAATATTGAAGAGTTTACATATTTGTCCGATTCATGCACCGGAAGACATTGCTCGCTAACAAGATGTGATCGAGCGAGGATCTCAACATAGAGGGGTTCATACACTTGAAATATATTCTCACAAGTATCCGAAAAGCCTATACCTCGAGGCTGGAATATCATTCTGTGCAGCAGGTTGATACTCAGGCACTCTGGTCAAGAAGATGTTGTACTTGGAATTCCGAGCGTTTCCCCTAGTCCACTTTTACCAGGCTAGTGAAGCTCGTTTGTGAGGTGGCTACTTTTTAAATAGGAAAAATAGTAATACATTTTTGTAGTTTTCTAAATAAATATAAAAAATTTCTTCTGTCCAGGACATTATAAGCGTCTGAAAGACACTAATAATCCTATGCGTAGATTTTAATAATTAAGCGGCTCAGGATTTTGGAGTTTTTGTCCGGAGTATGCAAAGGTTTCCATTAAGAGGAAATAGAAAAGTAATTTTCCACTTACATTAGTATCTTGGACCCTACGTAATTTTGATGTGATTGTCCGCAAGGAAGGTGGAATTGTATATTGCCATCACTCCATCGTCATCTATAATTACTCAATTTAAAGATGTGTTAGGAGAATTATGCATAGCTACCACGTTTAGAACATCATCGTCGCATTGAAAGAAATATCCTTTGAGAAAGTTTGTGAGGAAGTTTACTTGTGGAGTGAAATCACATGCTTTGATTAAAACGAGCAAGGAATTTGAGGTGAGAGAGCGAGGTGGAAGCGAAAGTTGTTCTGCAACTGTACCTGACACGGCGTTGAGTTTGATCAAGGAAAAACTATAGAGAGGAAGTTTTCACCCTATGCAAGGATTTCTGCTCCGGACACCACTGAAGCCGAACACCAAAAGTGTATTGACGGGGACTTTTCATCATACGCAAAGATTTCTGTGGCAGGCAGTGAAGCGGGATATCGAGCAAGGAGCAGATATTGTTATCGCCACTCCGGGGCGACTGAATGATTTTTTGGAAGTGAAAGAAATCGGTCTACGACAAGTGACATACAGATCGGAAGCTGGACATGGGTTTTGAGCCTCAAGTCAGAAAGATCGTGGATGAAATCCCTGCTAGAAGACAAACACTTAATGTACCGGCCGGTCGCTGGAGTGTTTGTTATAGCAAGACAATTCTCCCTCTAGCCGCTGCTCTTCATATTTGGTCCTTCGGGCCCTCTGCGTGCTGCGAAAGAGTAAACGTTTAACACTCTTTCCGTAATGATACTACAGTCACGAGGATTTTATCGGGACAATTTTTCAAAACTTACAAGCGACGATACCTCAGATCGAAAAGCTTCGAGAATGGAACCTTATCTCTACCAGACTCGGGAAACCTTCCCGAGTCTGGTAGAGACTCGGGAAGTTCAAAGGCAACGAATGATGACTTCCATCTTCCAAACTTTTTGCTGTTCCGAAATGCGACCTTCTTCTCTCGTCAATGCATCGAACAGAGGTATTGGGGATCCCGACCGAAATGTCTTCGCGCTAGCAGTCTGTATTCCTGCTGAGCTCATAAAACTTAGGGAGTTCATTACGTTGCCCTTCATGCTTAGGATCTAAGACAAGTCCAAAAGCTCGCGGGTACAGTTCATTTTAGTCAATGAACACATCTAAATGGTAAGACGCTATTATATTTATCATATTTATGACAAAATAATTCTTCACCATTGTTCAGCAGTCAACGTCGGTTAGTCGTTGATTGCGTTGCTTTGTCAACCACGTTCAACCCGACCATGTCGATCGTCACCATGATCAGTCCAACCACGTTTGCAACTGCGATCACGATCACTATTACCGACTGTGTCCATGCCGACCTTGTACACACCGACCACTTTAAGCTCCAACCACGTCCGACCTAAATTGCGGCTACCCGAATCGCGCTGCAAACAGCGTTGTAGTTATCTAAATCTGGAAGTGTGTCCCTAAATCTGGAGAAAGATGCACCGCTGCTTTTGTGCGGATGGGAGCACAAGACGTTACAGCCCACTGCTTCACTGCGGCTGGCTTCCTCCAACAAATTCGAATCACCATTCGAACTACCCCCAGGAATTTGCGATTGTCCTAACCGCGCGGAGCCGGTCGCTACGGCCTACGACTCTTAAGGCGCGGGGGGTTAGGTTTTAGGTTTGCTCTGCACGTCGACTGCCCTCCGCCCTGAATCGCACTTCCGCTGCGCTCTCCTTCGACTCGGGAAAATTCAACCCTCGGCTAAAGTTCACCTAGCTTTGGGTCAAGCCGCTAGATGTATCCCAAGAAACCTCTCTCGAGAAGACAAAGAGATGAAAGACTGATTGAACCTTGGAGAAGACAAAGACGTTTCGCCCCTCTCTAAGTCTACACTTAATTATCCAGCCCAACCAAGCCGAGGCTGGAAAATTATTCTACCCACTCGTCTCGTGATGGCGTCGTCTCTTCCGCAACAAGGCTCTCTCTGCCCTACTAGAAGTCCCTTTTCCGCACCACTTCCCCTCACGTCCGTCCTTGTGATAGGAACTCAATCTCACTGATTGTCTATTTCAATGCCAGATCTCGCCCTCTATGAACAAGATCACCACATCACAAGAACCGTTATCGCGTCCTCCTTACAGATCTCGATGTGCCACCACACAACTTTATACAAGCTGAGACTGCAACGAGCGCAGAAGAAGCATGGCAGAACGTCCCAGCGGCGATGGTTGTTTCCACACAGAGGTTAGAGAAGGATACTAATTCTCATATCACTGTCACATGCCACTCCTTTGACAGAAAACACTGTCAATTTACCAATTTCTTGAGCTAGAAAAAAGCCAACTTTCACAAACAAGAAAAAACAAGCATAAGAAAATTGTCGAAGACAATTGTCACGCGTGAGAAGAAACTTCGTAGAAAATCGTCACACGTCAGAAAACTACCACCAAGAAAAAAAAATTTCCAGCTCTGAAAAACTCTCACTGTCACTGTATTTTGAACCGAAAAAAGTGACTTGTGTCAGAAAAGCCGTCCAGAAATTTTTGACTGCAAATCCAAATCGTACACCGGCTCTGATACCAATTTCTACGAGAAAACTCGATATCACACTGAACAAGTCAACTACACGAGAGACACAAAAGACACACGTATAATGTGCTCCACCCTCAAAGGTTATATCCACGGAGTAATACACTTGAGAGAGTTTACTACTTCAAAATGAAAATATAACCTCACTCGTAGAAACATTAGGGTATATATATATACCCAAGGTAAGCAACTCATCTCAACTATAAATAATTATATAGCTACACATAAGGTTTACTACTTAACCGAAGTTAACCTCAACAATATTTTTGTATGCATAACAAAGCAATCATATCGTATTAATAAAAAATATTTATTTGACAACAAAATTATCATATAACATTTTGTGTTGAGATTTCAAAGTTAAAAAAAAGTAATATGATATTTTAGAAAGTGAATTTTTTTATTAACTTTATACTCCAAGTTGTTAGATGTGAGAAGTTAACAAAAATTGCAATGAAGTAAGTAATAAAAATGTATCCTAACAAAACTATTACACATAAAAAGCTTCAAATTTAAATCTTTAAAACAAATAACATAATTAATGCAACTATTGCATGATCGTTATAATAAAATTTTTGTGTACATTATTCCAATTAAATATATTGATATCAAAGAGTGTAATTGATCTCACTTTATTAAATAAAAATCATTAGCATCTACAATTTTGTTAAATTTAAATATTTGTGTTGCAACAAATAAAATAGATAAATCAAATATCTTTGATAACAAACAATGTAATGGGTCTCGTTTTATTAAATAGAAATCATTAGCATCTACAATTAAGTTAAATTCAAATATTTGTGTTGCAAAAAATACAAATAATCAATCAAATTATTCAATTAATCATTCGAATTGTAAGACATTGATGGAGAGTTTGACTAGAACAGCACATATGTTAAAAGATAGACTAGCTGTTGTAAGATGAACACAGCAAGAACAAAGAACTAGTGTAGATTAAAAGAGTAGTAGTTCATTTTAATTTGACTTTGAGTTCCAAAAACAATTATGTGAAAGCATGGTACATTGATACTTTAATTTTTCAAAATTTAATGCTAGATGTGTTAAATTTTATCACAATTATAATTGGCTTGGTTTTCTGCTCTTCCTATCACTATATGTTGGTTCTTTATTTACAAATAAAGAAGATGAGTTAAATTTAGATCGTTATGAGACATGTTGGTTTTATGATTTGAGGTCTCAATAGTAATTTAACTCAATTTTGAGAGGAATCATTGATTCATCTAATTGTTAATGGTGTTTGGTTGAAAAGCCAATGATAGAAAGTTATGTTGCGTATTATTTTTGATTAAATGACTCTAAGTGAGCATACTTGCTTGAAGCTACGTAATCTAAATCCCCATTTTCTTCTTATTATAGTTGGGTAGTGTTCATTAACTACATATATTCACATTTATAAAGACTTGAATGATCGTTTCTAAAATTTAATATGATATTTTCTTACACCTATTTTTTAGTTCTAGTTAAAACTAAATTTATGTGAAACACAAGGGTCACAAAAAAATGAATTAGCAAATCTAATCAGGCCATCTGACTTTTACATCAAGTAACAAAATTTAACTTGTAAAAAAGAATTCATTGAAACTTAACATCAAATTGATGTGATTCTTTAATTTTATGATTTGAATAATAATTACATTTCATTAAAAATCTCATTTTAAAAAAAAATACCAGAAAAACCTATATCCTAATTCCACTCAAGCTTCGGCAGGTAAAGAGGCCCCGACTCAATAAGCACGCGTCATTGCTTCCTCAGAATAAACATTACCACCTCCAGCAGTTGCTGTCACTTCTATGAGAAAGATCTGAGTTCCAACTTTGAAAAATTCAGATAAGGATTGAGATCATGAGCCTCGAAAGGCACTGAGAATTCTATTTCAGAATAGAGTCGCGGGCTTCACCACCCTTCACGCTGTCAGACTTTCTGCCGTGACGAGCAACTGCAGACTGGACGGAGCAATCAGAGGTGGCCAATCGTCAGCACTCATAAACTTTGTACTAATTTTGGGTACATGACTTTTTACTTTCATTTAAAAAGTCATACGTCCAATTAGTCTTCATGTTCTTCCAATCGATCTCTTCTAAGTTCATTGGAAGGTTGTCAAATTGCGATAGAAAGAAGGTACGCCGAGCTTGACAAACGGGATGAAGGGATGAAATCTGCAACGTGGGTTTTGCTGTATGTCAGAAACTTTGCTGTCCTGCGTGCAACCCGGTAGATGTGTCGGAAGGATTGCAGGGACTCATTGTGGATGGTATGTACAAAGCGGGTCACACGTTGCCATACCGCAGTAGAATAAATGAAGTAAGGACGAACACAGGCAGACCACAGTAAGCACAACCTTGGAGCATCATGAACGCGACGAATTTGAACTCAAGGATGATATATGTGGTTGGGTGTGTGGAACAATCCGGCACGTTGTTTGAAGCCCGAGTCGATTGCACCCACTTCTTGAGATTTCAAAAAGTTGGTCAGGGAGTTCTTGATTACACCGCGATTCGCCAACCAGTTCATGTCCAATGCAAAGTCAGTTCTTGAAGAAAGCCAGTCAGTGCTTGTACCATGTCCAGATAAGTCTGTACCATCGAACGGAATGTCCAAGAACTTGTTGGACAGGTCCAGAATATTGTCCAACAAAGCTTGCTTCAAGGTGCTCTTCCTTTCTGCGCGTCCTGTTTCTAAGAATAAACAACCAGAAATTGCAGCTTTTTCTGTGAACCGGCCCAGTCTGCATGGAAGTAGGTTCTCAAGTCTTCTTAATTTCCACTCAACGTGGTACAAAGTTTCATTGGCACTGCTTGATTGAGTACTTCGGTATCCTTTTGACCTATTGCTATTGAGTCCACGCAGTATGAGCGGAGATTTCAAAAACAGTAGATACTACAAGAAAACAATATCAGGACGAGATCATCCACAAATTCATGCCTTTGGCAGACGGATTGTACAGAATGTTTACGGTCTCCTTGTACACTTTGTATGACAATGTACAATTTCATTACATATTCGAATGAATGCTTTTATTACAGCACTAAATTTGAGCCTTCTTGAGCTCGATGAGTTCCCTGGGTTACCCTGATCCGATAATACACATCTGGCATCCAAGTAACAAATTCTTTGGAGCCATCAGAACTCAAAATGATTTTCAGGTCTCGGGAGCGGTTTTGCCACAGCAAGCTTCGGCATCCTCTTGTCAGCGGAACAAACAGCTTTTCTCTCAGAGCCTTCAGTTTTGAGCTTCAAAACTTCAAGCAAGCAAGAAGGACCATTTTTCTGTCGAGCTCAGCCTGACTTACAACGAAGCCAATGTCTCGACCGTCTGCGTCTTAGACTTGGGCTTCTTTTCGAATATGAGGTAGCATTAATCAAACTGATCGACCCGCTGGTTTTCGAATGCCGTCACCAGAAAGGTTGGCTGCTGTCGAGTCCATTCTGGAATTTTGGATGGAGGTATCAACTGTATGGAAAGTGATCCCCGACAAACCTTCCCCAAGTTAATGGGAACTAGTAACATCTACACTTTGATGTAGGGCCTGAGTTGGATGTCGAAGGTCATGTATATGCGTGTTCCTAACAACGTCGATAGTTTATCAACCTGAAAGCATAAGTTTTTCTGAGGCCTTCTGGAAAACAAGAATTGCAGCGTTCGAAGGTCGGGCGATTCTGATCATGCAGAAGTCTAATAGTGTGGTCTTTATTTCAAGACATGCACGGGCTTCCGGCGTACGAATTGACTGAAGTAAGAATACATTTGATTCAATTGAGATCGATGGATCGAACACTTGTCTCCTTTAGGCATATCACTGGAGGGCATTTTTCAGTTTCGACGAGCATTTTTTTGTAACACATCGAGTTTGAAGACGCAACCACTTAAGAGGGCATTCGAAGTAGCCATCTTACACAGAGTTTCCTTTCCTTGCAACCAATTGAACCTATTTTGATGCTGGAAAACATGTTTCTCAATAAAGTTCATGTCAACTGTCCTTCGTCAGAGGCCTTTTGGCGAAATAAGATGATGTTGCAAGTCTATACGCAGCGAACTGCTTGCAGCTCAAATAGGGATCCGAATGAATCTATCCTCCGATTGAAGCGTCCAGATAGTTTCTCTTCATACGAAAGGTGGTTCATAATCTCTTCATGAACCAGCTGTGCATAAGGTTGTGGGACCACAATTCTCAACTCTTCACCTTAGTTTGAGATTTTAATCTAGAAGCTCTTCATCGGTCTATGGCTGAGCTTTCAGAACAAGGCACTGATGGGCGGTCTTTACTACCAGGAATTTGAACGTAAACCCTCACTGTCCTTTCGATCATCAGGTGTCCTTGGTCCTAGGACCATCCTCAGCAAGACTTCTGATTCGAATTTTGTCGTGTAAGCTTGACAGTGATTATAATACGGCTTCAGACTCTCGTCCAGGAAGAAGCTTCCACAATCTGCATACATCAATTCATTTCCTTACAATGGCAGCTAGAATTTCTTGCGATGTATACAGCAAAGTTCGCGATAGCTAATGAAGTGCGTGTGATGTCTTTCCTGCAATTGGTGGAACCTACATTGTGCTTCTTACAGACTTTCTCGTCAGACTTCCTGTACTCGAGATCACGGGACGAGTACAGTTGGGCATACCGTACATGTACTTAAGTGCATAACTCTTAGGCATCGCGCATGCAACGTGATTATTCATCTCCCAGTTGCAAGAATGTGTGAGAAGAATTTTACAATATGTTCACGTCTTCAAATTCGAAGAGGAGCTCATCATGAAAGGTCGAGATTTTCTCGTCTTTTGAAGTTCTTCAAGTGCATAGAGACGATCCTTCAATTCAACCTGGCTTATCACCTTTCCATGGATATATATTGCTACTCCGATCAGGCCCCACTCACCCACCACACACATATGTGAAAAGGTTGTTGATACGTTCCAAGCATGACATACATTCACGCTCGAAAAAGCAACTACCTGCTTCTCTGAACAGCGCACTGTACTCAGTTGTAGTGCTCTGATCATTGGCGTGGTTCCGCAGATTACTTGTTACAGCTCCGGGCGCCGCTCTCAAGGGAGCTTACTCAGTCAAAGGCGTTGTCCCCAGGATTCCATCCGTCTTACTTCTCTACAGAAAACACAGAAGCTGCCCCACAAGTAACACAGGTTCAGGCAAAGCATTCGGTGCAAGCTAATGCACACGGCGTCGATGGATTCAAAAAAAAAAAAAAGCGAACACCACTTCAGTGTATACACTATGCTCCTGTATGATTGTAAGCTGACCCGGTCGCAACTTGATCTGGACAGGAATGGGACCAGAGAGAAGAATTGGAGTATTGTCGAGTATTTCACCTTTTGAGCCGAGCCTCGGCTGTATAGGCTCCAGGCTCCAGGCTCCAGTGTCCAGAGTTAGTCAGACATGCGCGCACGGGTCCCAAATGTCCAAAAGTGCGTGTGGGCACATGCCACTTGTGGCTGGATGGATGGGAGATGGATGAGCTCTGCTGATCTCCGGATCTTCCAGGAAGCGGGCCCGTGCAAGGAGCTGGGAGGTATAGGATTCACGTCTGCATGGTCCGAGTTTGCTGCGAGGGTTGAACTGAGGGTAAAGGGAAGACAATTGAACAGCATGCACGTCGGGCGCACGGCCATAGGCTCCAATAAGCTTAAGTCTTCATGTGCCCAGGACTTGTCAGAGTTGCCATGGCCAGCAGTGCGACGGCAAGCACGGCAGGTTTTATTGCCAACATATTCGAGTTCCGAATTTTCAGTGAAAAGTAGTGCTATTGAGCGCTAAAGTCGGTGATTCGACGACATGATTGCTTTCCAAAATAATGTTTCAGATTTTGTCTCAAAACATCAGGTATCGGAGCATTGCGCTGCACTGTTTTAGAAAACTTGTGTGTGGGGTGTGGTGGGGTGTGGTGGGGTGCTGGCCAGCTTCTAAGCAAGCCACAGTGATGTTCAGGTTGACAAGCACAGGCATCACATATTTGATCCTGCTGGCTCAGAAGCACCTGAGCTTATGAGTAAGCTCGCAGGCTCATGAGCCGACAGTTCTGGTTAAAATACTGTTAAACTTTCGGAGAAAGTCCGCCCCATCTGGCCTCGATCGAGCTAGCACATTCATCGGTGGGGGGAAGCTGTCAGCCATCGCATCTCATCTCGTCTCTCATCTCCATATAGGCTCAATTGTGGCTCATCTCTCTCCCTCCCCTCTTGTTGCTAATGAGAGCTGGGGCTGCACCTGTCAACCTTTGGTGTACAAAAGTTTTTTCTGGGTTCCAGATCCACCGAACTGGATCTCAATCCAGGCGCTTGTATCGACATTTTCGGACCTTTATGACCGGACTGGTCTATGTCGAAATCTTTCGATCATCTGGAGAAATTTCGACAAAAAGAGACGGAGCTCCCCTCTCTCGTTCATGAGCTCTGCGCCGGATCCTTATTTTGGATTGAGATTCTCTTAGGAGGTGAGGAGATCTAGAGGACCTCGGTCCGCTAGGTTGAAGCTTTGTGAGAAGAATCCCGGAGGAAAAAAACACTACCGCTAGGCATGATTTGTGCCAATCCACAGAACCAGCAGGCAGGCAGGCAGACATAGAGATCAGGAACAGGTTTACAGTCAGCCCATCGCAGAGCAGAAGACAGGAGAGCGGAGATGGGGAGGTATCAGAGGGATATCTCGGAGCTAGGCCCCTTGAGCATCATCCGGGAGACGGTTATCATGTGCTACGACAACGCTGCGACGCTGGTGTGGATTCAAGTGACAATGGTGCTACCGACGATGATTGCAATCATGGGATCTCAGCAGCTTCTGGACCTGGCGACTGAGAAGCTGGCTCCGGCCATGAGCCCTCCGAATCCCGCAGACTTTTCGCCTCTCAAGCTCGTCCAACTCATAGGCGTGTACATCGCGGTGCTTCTGATCAACCTGGCCATTTCCATCGTGTCCATCGCTGCCATCTTCTACACGGTCGGCTGCTCCTACACGGGCAAGAGCGTGACCTTCTCCGAGATCCTTCGCACCATGCCCAAGGTCTGGCGACGGCTGCTCATCACAGGCCTGTGGGGATTTCTCATCGCCACCACGGTCATCCTCATCAACGCCGTCACGAATCTGCTGGTCTCCACATTCCTGTCGTCCAAGCCTTGGATCGTCATCCCCGTGATCCTGCTCATCACTCTGGCGGTGCTCGTCTTCTCCTTCTACTTCGGCGCCATCCTCCAGGTGGCCAACGGAGTGACCACTCTGGAGGAGTACTACGGCATTGCTGCTCTGTCCAAATCCGAGAAGTTGCTGCGAGGCAAGTGGTGGACTGCGCTGGGCTTGTTCCTCATTTACACGGTGCCGGTCGGGGCCCTGGCCTACGCGAACGAGTGCGCCAAGAAGTACCTTGACTTGGGCGAGCACGAGTCTCTGAAGAAGCTGCTGATGCAGGCTCTGTTTATTCTGATCAACTCGTTGATGCTCCAGTGGAGCACTCTGAGCGGAGGCGTGCTGTACGTGGCTTGCAAGGCCTTCCACCACGAGAGCATCGTCCTGTACGTGTCCCTGGACACCTCGCATTTCGAGCGCATGTCCCAATCGACTTCGAATCCCAACTTGGAAAGGGAAATCGGCGGCTATTTTGAGCCCAGGCCGTCCTTTGGTCGAGCTGCATTCAATGGGGAGCAATTGAAAGACGAGCTCGAAGCAGTTCTCAGCAGAGCAGGACCCTACCGGAAGGCCGACACCTCGAGTCCCAGACACAGCTTCAGTTCTGTGGACGAGCTGGAGATCAGTGTCGAGGAATACCCACCTGAACTCTCGAGGTCCAGGAGGTCCAGAGGGAAGGGTCCGCTGCATAATACGTTGGTCTAGACGAGATGGTACTGTCATCATTCAGTCATCAAGTTGTGTTTGGAAAAGTCCTTGGTTTCGGGATCGCCACCGTGGTCGTGTAAATGTGGTAGAATAGTAGTTGTAAGAAAAAGGTTGTAGGTTGAGGTACTAGTCCAAAGTGTGAATAAGTAGACAAGTCTCCGAATACGGTCGCTGCAGAAATTGTTCATAGTATATATTGCAGAACACTTTAGTTCTTCTAGTTTTGCAAGCCAGCGAGCGAGAAACTCAGCAGCACCGACTGACTGTATGGCTAGCAACACATGCTTGAGATAGAACCCATGAATGTTACGTGTACAGAACATGGAAGTCGAGTGCCGGTCTCTGTCATGATTGTTAGCTGTGCAGCATTTGGAGGGAGGGAAGGAGGGACGGAGGGTAGTGCAGAGGAGCAGAGCAGAACAGAACAGAACAGAACTGAAGGAAAGTTTGTTGGAGCTTAACTCAACAAGCGGAATGAAATGCACATTCTTTGATTGGGGATGGATATTTTTACAGGGACCACTTGTCCAATATGCAAACGGCTTGAGAATAAGAAAATGCATAGAAGCCTCAAACATCACGATGTTCACAATGCGCACTACTCTGAAATTTGTATCTAGTGTAGGAAAGCAATTTGCTTCTCTGCTTGTTTTGCCTTTAGAGAGTGGCAAAGGAACGTGAAATGAAAATGACCGTCATGGAACAGCCGTCTGCTGAGGAAAGATTGCCCACTATTCCAAAACTGATACGAAAGCTCAGTTCGGCCTTTGCAACGTAAGATATGAGGGCAATGCCTTCTTTTAAGAAAAGAAAAGACGCAAGAAAAGCTTCGCACGAATTCTCTTGAGATTATGCTTGTCGGGAGGTCCAGAAATCAGGCTTTGGATTGCAGGCTATCAAGTCAAACCATGAGTTAATGGATGGCTTGATTTTCACTTGTGAGCTTCTGCCCATTGAAAATCACGATGCGAAAGTCCAGCATCGTCCCAGCAGAACCTTCATGTACAATATACTGCAAGCTTCACAGATTCCTATCTCGCCATCCAGCATTTCCAATGCCGATCCCGTTGAAGAGAAGAGTGCAGAGCCACTTTTAATCCATGTATCTGAAAGAATTGCAGGCTTGCGCCACATGAAGCGCCGAAAGAGACTGACAGGAGCTTCTGCTCTCAGAGTAAGAACCACACTCTCAGTGGTTTTCTCACAATGTCACAGGACCTGCTGTACAAGCATGGGATCTGTAAATTCCCACTTGCGACGCACTCTGCATAAGGTGAGCCTTCATTGAAGCAATAGCAATCATTAGCCAAACTTTCCAAAAGAGTGACCGAACGAGAGAGTAAAAATTACGTAGAGAGTCGATCATGCACATTCTCCACGAGCTGGATGAATACAAATACCGTAGGAGGTGCAGTACTTCACGTCAGTTCTCTTGGCCTCAACGAACATGGCAGCGCTCTTGATATAATGTACATTGATATTTATAGGTCGTCGAACAGCCGTCTTGATATGATCCAAACACAGTCGAAACTTGATAAAACCCCTGTTTCCTCATGGAACTGCAAGTACATAATTCAATCAGTAATACTTAGTCCTCACGTCTCGTGATCTACGACGGCCGCTTGAGGCAGCCTTCGCTTTCAATGCTGCTGTCGAATGAGCAGTCGTGCTTGTCTACATGCAAAATACATGTCTATGACTTTCTCAAACTCGAATGTGATTTGAAAGCACGATGCATGTACACACAACCACACCTCTCTCCCTCTCTCTATAGCCGCTTCTCCATTTCTGCACCTCACATCTTTCATTTGTTTCGTAGGTCTACCACTCAAAGACAAGAAATCTCTGTGCTGTCAGTTATATTCCTTCGGTTCATTGTTCCCAAGCCTGCTACCGATAGCTGTGAATTGTGAATCACAGTCTTTGGAGAACAAGAACGAGAGCAAAGGGCCCCACCTGCAGAGGCCAGATTACTCGTTGTCCCTTCGATCTCGAACTTTCACAACACGTTCTTGAGCTGGCCTCCTCACCCACCTTACCGATCCATTTGTTAATTGGTCAACGTGAGCTGAAGTTTCGCAGATATCTTAAGCTCACGTTGATTATGTTTTAGCAGAAGATGTGCTTTGCTATTCCAGAGCTTGCTGTGCCGCCTTACTCAACATCGAAGGCTCGAGCTTTGAAAGTGAGCACGCAGCAAAGTCTACATCTTACATAAGTAATTGTTTAGTTTCCATCGAGCTCTATCAGCAAGTCAGCATGATCGAAAATGCAATTGCCAAGTTATTTTGTGCATGTACATAAAAATTTATTTCATTCAATGTTTTAAACTCATTGTATTGTTATTCAAGCCTGATCAAATATGATGATTCTTATTCTAGTAATACTATAATTCCTATGTGTTCATTTGAAAGACTAGATTCTACACATAAAGAATCAAGAGTATGATTCAATTTTGATAGATAACCATGCTTTTACAAATATGTGATTAAACTCAGATTTGTTCAACAATTTTACTAACCTCATATAGAAGCTCTGACTGAAAACATATATTAGATTGATTTCTAGTACATTTTTACTGAATTTAAGCTGGTTTTTTTTATTCTCAATGGCTATCCATATCTAAATTTCCTATTTCTGATATAAATCGCATTGCTATTTATTTGTTTCGAAATAAATTTGCTCATGAGCTGAAATAACATCTCAAGAATAAATATCATTTTTAAGTTGAGATCAGTAGATTATTTTATAGTACCTTCATTTTCATCACAAGCACTCACAATTGTTATTGATTTGAGAACAGAATTTCATTCATCTTATCGATAAAATGTGTGACTAATATACAAATGTTAGTTTTCGACTGATATTGGATTTAAAACTACATCTAAGATTGATTCAAAATTACTTAAAAACATAAAAATTTATTTAATGAATAAAATTGAAATTATCTGCAGTCATAGTATTTATAAAAGAATCGCAGATTTTTGTATAGAAATTTTAAATTTCATTATTGATTATTTATCAAAATATAATAACTTTCTTAATCTTGTAAATACAATGTTTACACATGATACTTCAACAAACGAAAAATGTGCGTTTGAATATTATGCACAATCAAGTGTGTTAATCACATAAAAAATACTACGTAATGTAGATAAATCCATAGGAAGAAATAAATGCTTGTTCACATTTTCAAAAACAAAAAAGGTTACTTTAGGAAACGTTACTAATATTGTAAGAGCAATACGACTTTGTTGACGAGAAAACTTCTAACAGTCAAAGTTTATGATTTTATGCATTGTTTCACATGCATCAGTAAGAAAAAAAGTCATGTTTATTTTATATTATTTCACAAGTTGTATTAATTGATTTGCTAGATGATACAACCTTGTACGATGTTGTTTTTTATGAACGGTTTGATCTTCATAGTTTTTAGATTTTGATGTACATGTTACCCTGGTGATATTTATAGAGCTCAGCCACTTTTTTACATCTATTTCATCCTTGTTAAATTTGAAATTATGCAATGACACTTCTCTGTTTCCAGTTTTCAATTAAGTTTTTTTTTATTCATAATACCTTTCGTTTTCTTGAAAAAGTGGATGTATGATACATCTTCTCAGCTTCTTCATTGATGCTCATTCCCTAACATCACACCTTTAACTCACATTTATTCATAGAAAAAAATTTAATTCTATATTTTGGATAACAATGTGTATATGCAATCTACATACAAACAGCAAGATGTATCATTTATCAAAAACAAAAAAAGCATAACAAAAAATTGATAGGTTTAAGAATATCACATATACACAATGTACTAATGGCACATCAACATGAGATTTTAGAATAATTGTTAGCATGTGCATTATTTTATCAACATATTGTTAAACTTTTAAAAACTATAGTTTTGGAAAAGTAGATGCAAATGATTCCTGCAAAATGTACACATGAGTACTATATTGAAGACATTGTTCTAATTTGCATGCACAAGATCTACATTTGAAGTTAAGAAGATATGCTAATATGTAAGTTGTGACAACACAATTGTTGTTAAATTGTGATGCAATATACTCCAATTTTTGTATGAAAAATGAATACTTTCACGTGGATACTGAAAATATCAAAGAACTTTTAATTCATTCAAATCCAGAGTCAAATTGAGTTCAAAGCTGGTTGGATGACAAATTAGATAACCCTTTCAATTTGTTAACAATTTCAAGAGAATTTTGCAAATAGTCAGCAGAAAATTATTTACACGATTTATTATTCTCTACATTTGTTTAGCCACGTCGGACAAGATCGATGTTTTGGCTTGGCTGCTATGGACATGCACCAAGGCCACCGTGCAGATTGCATACTTGGTGGCATTTGTTCCTATTGAAATATTGGAGAAGACATGATACAGTTTCCCGCTCTCTTCTCTTGTCGCTGCGGTGTTTGGCAAGAACGACTGTTCGACTGTTGCGAGAACGCACATGAACGCCACTTGTGGCCTCGCCTCGCCTTCCTCGAGTTTACGAATCTGTAACAAATTCCTCAAAGACAGCTTGAATTGGCTGCTAAGTTGAGGTCGATTCACCTCAAATTGGAATATTTTGGAGCTCGTCCATAGGCAATGTGAGTACCGCCGTGATCTTTCGGGCCAGGAAACATGTGGTATTTGAATTTCCGAGTGTTTGGATTTCGGGAGAATTACGTTACGTAGCGCTGGTTGTGTTGATTTCTCGCAGGGATCCTTACCAGGACACATTGCGTGTCCTGGTTGCCACCGACACACATCTGGGCTATATGGAAAAAGATGAAGTGCGGGGACTAGATTCCTTCAATGCCTTTGATGAGGTCTGTGCGATTGCTGCTGAAAAGGAGGTGAGATTTCTTCCTTTCTGTTCTGGCAATAGAGGACTCTGTTGCGGGGCAGAGGAAAAAATAAACATGGAACGCTTGATTATGGAGCAAGCATTATACTCAAAATGCTGCAGGCATGCTTGCAACCTCGTTTTGCACCACATATATTTAATTTTCTGGTCTGCAATGTGACTGGAAGATTGAACGAGGGGACATCAAAAGTATGGCAAAGTTTGAGGTAGTCCATTTTAGCAGAACAAGCTGATGGTGTGAAGTCCATAGCAGTTCATCTAGGAGATGCACTGTGTGATGAATTGAGAAGGTTTGGGCTTTTACTCTGTAACAAGTTTAAAGAAGCTACATTTCTCAGACGAAAAGATTGACACATCTTTCTTTTCTAGGTGGACTTCTTGCTGTTGGGAGGAGACTTGTTCCATGAAAACAAGCCATCACGCACAACTCTTGTAAGGACTATAGATATTCTTCGCCGTTATTGTCTCAACAAGCGACCTGTAAAATTTAAAGTTGTCAGCGATCAGGCAGTGAATTTCCCTGGCAGGTAAATGAACATGCAATATGACGTAAGTACGTTCTGCTTCGTTTTCTTAAGTTACTTTCCGACCAGAGACCCAATTGAAACCGGAGTATGTTGTGATATAACGTGGATGGTCCCTTTCAATGAGTTGTAGTATACCTTCTTTTGAGGCAGATAATTAAAGGCAGAGCCTTGCACACCTTGTGATATCAGTGATGTCAGGTATGCGTTGAAAGCTTAGTAGTTTTGAACGTAGAACCAGCTTCTCAGTGTTTGAAGAGACTGATGTGGTTCGTTTTACGCGGTTAAGACTGATGCAGGAATTTGGCTCACTATCCATCTTGTCTTAAGATGCTCGCTGATAGGTAAAGTCTGCCTGTGTATTGGTGATACGAATGCAGATTCGGACATGTCAACTTCGAAGATCCATACTTTGATGTGGGTTTACCAGTATTTAGTATCCACGGAAACCATGATGATCCAGCTGGTGTGGTATGTGATGATTTCAATCCTCTCAATTTTTGAAATCGCCTAAATGACATGTCTAATCTCTCCTTATGTGGTTTTGCTTCTGCAAAAAAGATACTGGAAAGCTGAAGCACTCGGTTTTTAAATCCTTTTATCGTTCTTCGGTGGAGAGGACAGGTTTTGTAGTTTATTCGTTTTCTGTGGCTTTGATTCAGGATAATCTTTCTGCCGTTGACATTCTTTCTTCCTGCAACCTTGTAAATTATTTCGGTAAGGTGGTGCTTGGCGGACAAGGCGTTGGGCAAATCACACTGAACCCCATTCTTATTCGAAAGGTAATGACTGCAATTGCAAGTTCTCAGTACTTTATCATCTTTTACATGATCATCATGCCACGTATGTCTGAGAACATATTTTTATGAAGGCATTACTTGTTTTTCCATATTTTTAATGCGTAAACTACTTAGGCTGCTCTGGAGAGTTTGTTATATTTGTTTTCAATCAAATTCGTTGGTGTCATGTTTTATTCTCATAACTCAGCAACTACTGTTAAATATGATCAGGGCTCTACCAACGTGGCTTTGTATGGACTTGGAAATATTCGAGATGAGCGTCTCAACCGCATGTTTCAGGTCAAAATATAACCTGGTTTTCTCTTACTGATTTCACCTCAACTTATCTCCGCTTAAACATTATGCATGGATATGTTTTAATGCGGTGAGTTCGAATCCAACCTGTGTGGAAATGGCCAAGATGACTCACCATTTGAATCAGGTCTCTCTTAACTCAACATCTTACTGAGTGATGTTTTTTAGACTCCGCATGCGGTACAGTGGGTTCGCCCAGAGGCCGAGGAAGATTGTGCAGTTTCAGACTGGTTCAACATTTTCGTCATTCACCAAAACCGGTATAAATTTATCTTTTGATTCTATCCCTCTGTACTGGAGAGCCGATCATCTTGCACTATGATTTTCTTTTGATTTTGAATCCGCACAAAGTTAATCATTTATTTGGCTACGAAATCTAAAAACTTTTTTGGAGAGGGTTTAAACGAGAAGAAGGATAGAACTTAACAAAACTGATAAATTTGTTAACATGTATACAGGTGGAAACTGTCTGACTCTCGTTTTAATCTATCATTCCAGGGTCAAATCTAATCCCAAGAATGCGATCAATGAGCATTATCTTGCTCGCTTTCTCGACTTCGTCATATGGGGACATGAACACGAGTGCCTCGTAGATCCACAGGTGAAATATCTCAAGGACGGAGTTACATACTTTATGCGCTCGTTGTGAACCTTTTTCACTATAAACCTTGGCTAATTTGACTTATAGTGTCGTCGAAGAAAGCACGAACGGTCTGGAAACGAAATCTATGCGTACAGAAACCTTCTCGGTTTAGTGCTTCACAAATACTTTTATCTTGCAAGCTCGCGCGGCACTTGCGTTTGCTACATGTGAAGTGTATGGTCGTCAGTCTTGACAGAACCTTCTCTGTAGGTCTCCTGTTAAACTAATACTTAGTACTGCAATGAGGAATAAATGTACAGGAGTTAACACCTCTGCACAATGTAGGAGGTACCAGGAATGGGGTTCCATGTGACTCAACCAGGGTCATCTGTAGCAACTTCACTAATCGAAGGTGAAGCTGCACCCAAGCATGTTCTTCTATTGGAGGTCAAGGTGTGAGTTTTCTATCTTATCCTATCATGACCTCCTGATTGAGATTATTCTTCCTAAAGCTCTACTTGCATCACAGCTAGAAGCGGTAAGGCAGCCACCCTTGAATTACCGTTATTGGAAGATAAGAGTAGACAATTTATATGTGTTGGTGTTCTTAAATATCTTGAGCATTTTTGCTTCAAACTTTTGTTTCTAATGTTGTACGATTGCAGGGGAACCAGTACCGTCCAACAAAGATTCCTCTGCATTCAGTGAGGCCCTTCCTGTTCAAAGATGTAAGTCTCATAGCAAGATGATATCATCATACTTGAGTCATCTACTGTCAGCAGTAGAACATCAAAACCTCCTGACACATGTGCCTTGCAGATATCCTTTAAAGACGAGCCGGACCTTGATGCTAATGATCAAAACGCTGTTCTGGAGTTTCTAGGTCAACAAGTGAGCTTCCAACCAACCATACTTCCAACCAAGTGTTTTGTACTGGATACTGTATGATTAGTTCTCAGTTTTTACTTCAGTTCTAGACTATCGTATTCTCCTCATACCTGATTTCGTCTGTAAAGCATTAAACTGTAGTGGTTCTCTCTGTCTTTATTCACAGGACTGTTGATCGGACTTTGAAACTCAACGAATTCCGATTTGAAGTCATTTATGCGAGTGGCGCTAACTATTTGTCTGTATCAAATATGAATTAAGATTTGTCTTGCTGTTAGGTACAAGACTTGATTTCCCAAGTTCAGAAGAAGCCAGACAAAAGTCCAGAATCTCAGGTTCCTCTGGTGCGACTTAGGGTCAGTTCAGGAACCCTGTGCGTGCTCCTGGTTTGTATATTGTCAGCAGTAATTTACACTAAATCGAAATATTCTTGTAGTACGAGGCTGAAGACTATTTTCACTGCTCATCTGAATAGTCGCTAGGCCCTGTGTATGTTCTCTTGTTAAAAATCAATCTGTGGTGGTTTGTAAGTTACTTGATTCAGTTATTATCTTTCTATATCGGAGGCTAACGGTGAATTTCTTATGTTTTATCTGTTGTGACAAGGTAGACTACACAGGATTCACGACAATAAACCCCCAACGATTTGGTCAGAAGTTTGTGGGCAAGGTAGCGTGTTTTGCAGGAAAGATAACTTACGTTGTCTTTTTATATTCTCCTTGTTGATATTGTGCAATCACATGTCTGTTAAGTTGCGTTCCACAATTGCCTATGTTCGTACAATAAACAAATTAAGAATGAACTTGTATTTAACAGGTTGCGAATCCCAACGACATTCTTTTATTTACAAAAGCTTCTAAGGCTAGAAGGGCGAAGCAAGGTAGATTTCAGGCTTTTTGGACTCTAGGTTTTTTTCAGTACGATTGCTTGGCAGTATATGCTGTAATACAGTTCGAGCTCATCTTGGGTCTTACATTCTTCCCCGGAAGCCAAAAACCAGAGCATGAATCGTTTTGACTGTGCTCACTCAGTCCAGTGTACGTTACAAATTTACAGAAGAAGGAGAAGAAGATGAAGCATTAGGACCTGAAGAACTGAATCAGCAGAACATTGAGGCCCTAGTTGCAGAGTGCAATCTCGTAAGTTCTGCTTTTATGAGGTGGTTGATCTTGAGTTCCTAGTGCTGGTCAGCTTTTGGCCGCAAGCTGTTGTACAGGTTCCATGTACGGCTTGTTGTCATAACACCTGAGATCAAGAATACAAACATTTGCTGCTTTTGTCTTTGTGAAAAATAGTAACATGAGAGTAGACGGTAGAGCTCGCCAAGGTTGTCTAACTAAGGAGTCTTTTTGGGCCCACAGAAAATGGAAATCTTGCCCGTAACCGAGTTGGGGGAGGCGCTCCATGCTTTTGTCAACAAGGATGATAAACAAGCGTTTCATCTATGCGTGCAGCACAATTTGGATGAGACACGGGTACGAATCGAAATATGTTCTCTAGTAACAAATGAGCTTGAAGATGAAGTCTTACAATCCTTCTGGAACTGTTGCGTATAAACTGTAGGGGTTTTGCATAGTCTAAAGTTGGGTTGCATTTTCCTATCAATCTTTTGTGCAGAACAAGCTTGCCAAGGAAGATGCGGATGAAATGAAGGAAGAGAAGGATGTAATAGAGAAAGTTACGATGCACATGCAGGCAGGTTTTTTTTCGTTCAATCCAATTTTGGAAGAATTGAAAGTGCTACGCCAAGAATTCAAGGTACAAAATGCTGCCTTGACTACTGCACAATATGAAATCCGAGAGTTGAAGTTATTTCACAAAAGTTTTGAGAATATCATGATTGATATTTCTGGACAGATCCAAAAATATCAAGTATAATCTTCTCAAAACTTTTGTGAGATACCTTCAACTCCCGAATTTGATATTGTGCAGCAGTCAAGTAAGTATTTTGTACCTTGAATTCTTGGCGAATCAATTCTCTCTACGTACGTCATATCATTGTTAGACATAGGCTTGGAATTGAGGAAGGACGTTGGTTTAATATTGATAGGAGTGATTGTATTTGTAGATTATGTCACGGTGGGTACATTGAGGATGAAGAGCATGTATTTGTTACTTGTTCTAGTTACGAAGACACTAGGCTTGCTCATAATATAGATGTGGAGAATTTTTATTCTTTATTACAGTTAGTTCCTTTCGATTTTGGTTGTTAAATTATGGACATTATTAATTACTACTGTAGTGTTCTTGGCACTAGCTAGGGATTGACCTTTGGGGTCTTTTCTCTTGTTTGTGGTTTCGCTTGTATTGTGTTTCTCAGCCTTTTGACCCTTTGGGTCCCCCGGGCTTGGTCTATTACCATTTACCATATATCAATACTTGCGTGTGGTGACGAAAGGAACGTCATGTTGACCGTTATCTACTTTGAAGAACGTTTTATGTCCAAATCTGCAAACGTGGAACGTGGATTTAGAGATTTACTATCACTACCTGAACTGATGCTGAAATATAATCTTTGATTTGCTTGACAATTTGCTTTATGTATCGATCTTTGTCTAGAATAGCACCTGAGAAAATACACGTGTTCAGGCGGTACATTTCCCATACTTATGTACTGTGTCAGGTAAATGTTGAAGGGAAATTAGATATCTTAAGAAGCATTCACCTCTGTTAGATCAGTCATCTATAGGTTGATCAGCTTTTGTTCCTTGAACTATACAGCAACGAGAAGCCGAGGCTATTTCCAAACGGGGAGCTGGACCATCTGGATTATCTACTCAGCTTGATCAGGTAGTAATGTTTGTGGTGGCTACATACACATAGAGTTGGAAGTTGTAATCGAAACATCCTGTGATTCAACAGAATGACAAGAAGGGCTATTTGCTATTCGAAGTTCAGTTGCTGCAGCGAGGTTTTAAAGGTTTTTCTTTGCGGATTTCATGCATGATTGTCTCTCTCTTTCTTCAACGTTTTCCTTCTGTACTAGTGGTTCGGCTCGAAATTGCAGTTGAGAGGAAATCTGTTGAATACTGTTTTTTGTACCGCAGAGTTGTTCATTGCCTGGAGGGTACCTTGAGTTAAGGAATTTTGAGTAGATGAAGTTTCCATTTGTTCGAAGCAAACCTGCAGTTATCGGAACATCTCACTGAAGAAGTTACCTGGTGCCACGTCTGGGAATTTGCAGACGAACCAAGGCGGAAGCAAATATAAAGCGAAGGTTGAACCTAAATCAAGTGGTTTGCAAGACTTTAGCGATGATGAAGAAGTTATTGGTTTAGTCCCTTCACGAGGAAAACAACCCCTGAAGACCACCGGAAGAGGGAGAGGTAGCACGAGAAAATCTGTCGAACCTTCGGGAAGAGGCACTGCAGCTCGTGGCAGAGGTTCTCGTGGAGGAAAGTTGAAGCAAACTACTCTTGCAGATATGATGGGTGGAGGCTCAACCCAGGTTCGAAGTTCCACAAGGTGATGAAATGCTTCTCTTGAGACCAGCTTGCACCGTGCTTTGAGTCGTCGTTGCCCGTTTACACTGTCTCTTGCAGCTATAATCTAGTTACTGCTCAACAGTAATTTACCGCAATGAATGCCATCTGTCTGGAGGATGTACTCTCCTGAACCGATGATAGAAGTCTCAATCAAAGTTTCCCTCCAGTTTGATAGTTTGTAGTAAGTTAACGTTGTAATAATACCTTGTTCCTCTTCGATCTGCTGTGTCTGTAATTGTGGTGATATTTGCTGCCTGCACCTGCTTGATTGAAATGATTTTCTGTAAGCATTTGTCTTCACATTCTACATTCAGTTTGAAGGCCAACAGGAAGCATTTTTATGAGAACTGTCTCAACTTATCGTGACTTTACCTTGCTGGCACAGTCCGCAAAGAGAGAATTAATTATTGCTTTTGGTGGTCAAAGTGGCTTTTGTTTTAACATCTTGGAATGCTATGGCCGAAGCAGAATTGGTGCCAGCTCAGGCTCAGCTTCAGCAGTGGTGCAAATTCTGGACAGTGACGAGGAAGAAGCTGTACCTGCTGCAAGCGATGATGAAGACGATCCAGATGAGGTGCCTGAAGAGGAAGGCAGTGATTCAGTACGTTCCCCCTTTTGTTTCTTGTTATTCCTTCCCGCCAGCATGAAAGCAGACATCCGATTAATGAGTATACTGCAAGTGAAGTAATTCAGCAATCCAAAATGACTTCAGGACCCAGGACAAACTCCTGCAAGAGGCCGGAAAAGAGCTCTCCCGCGGGGACGAGGAAGAGGAGCTAAAACACAAGAACCTCGTGCAAAGAGAGGACGTAAGTCTAGTCAACTGTCCAGTACTCCTTCTCACACGAACTATATCGAAGATGATTTAGAAGACGACGACGATGATAAGCCAGCACCTCGGGGAAGGGGTGGCACATCTACTACTGCGGTAAAGTGACATTACATAGCTTACCTTGCATCAGTTGGTTGTGTTTTGTATGTTTCAGACCGTCTAATGTCTTCTGCAATGTGGCTTATGTATTTTCAAAAATGAAGTAGTTTTTCTTCTTCGACTCTTACTCTATTTCCAGTTCCTTCAATGCTATTGTTCATACATGAGGTATGGTTTTGTATGTGCTTCTTCTGTACGTAAACTCAGGTACTTAAGTGGATTTCTTTTGAGAAAGGAAAGCGACGTTTTGCCTTTCTACGTGACAGTGTAGTTGATGACCTGGTTTTAGTTAGATTTGCAATTCCGAGTATCCGTGGACTGGCCTTCGAAGTCAAACATCACACCCTAAGCAATTTTTTGTTGATTCCAGGCAACCCGCAGGAGCTGGGGATCTCTAAGAAGATAAGGATTGCAGTTGTACAGTCTCAAAGTAGTAGATCGCTGTATAGGGATATTTGGCTTGACTGTGTAGAAAGAACAGGCCATAGCCTCTCCTGGAGAAGTACACACAATTTTTACTCGTCGAGGGCCTAATTGAACTGAGTCCTGTAGAGGGTACAAAAAGTGGGGCCCCAGAAGACGTAAAAGTTTTAAGTAATTTTGATTGCGAATGTAGATTATTCCATTCAAGAATATTCTGAAGTGAAAGGCTACGTGTATGCGTCGCGAACTATGGTATGACGTAGACAATTGAAAGAGTTTCTAGCACAGTAGAAGGTATAGACAGGTAACATACAAAAATCCGCGTAGATAGTCCTTGCCTGTCTTCATTTTGGCATCATGTGCTGCATTGATATACAAATGCCATACAGACTTCATTATGGGAAAGAAATGTCGCAAAAAAATCGAGCAGAGAGCGTACATGAGGGAATAAGGAAAACCGCAGTAAAGTCGAAGCCTCAGAGGAAACTTTTCCTGAGGCCTCGACTTAAGAGCGACTTGTCCTCGATGATTGACACTGTGGCCCTCTGTTGTAGGAACTTGTCACTGCTCACTTGAACATATCGAGGAGCATCATGAATAACAAGATCTCATTATAACTGACTAAGGGCTTACTGAGCAAGATTTGATATGAACTGAACCTGAAGGATGAACCGAGTGGTGTCAAACGTGTTTTCAGTACTGTACTATCAACGCTTTTAGATATAGTCGCTTCATTTGTACTTCTATGCACACTGATCCTTATGACAACTCAGATGTTGTACAACCGCGTATGCCCCCACATCCAGGTAGAGATCCATGTCAAAGTTTCTATCACGCGGAGAAGTATCATAGAGTTGTCTGAGTGCTACATGTGAGATATCTATAACCCAAGAGAAAACAAACTCGTCTCGCACTGTCAGCGAATAGATAGAATCAAACGATAGAATACAGTTTACCTTCTTTGCTGACCTTGTGCGATAAGTTCTATGTTTGTAGTGTAAATAATCTAGGTTCAAGCAATGCAAAGCAAAACCTGGCTATTAAATAGCGGGACGCTGAAACGAATCGAAATGACTCAAGCGACTTTAAGATTAGATTTGGTGACCTTTATAGTAATGATGGACTCAATGGACCTAAATAATAGAAAAAATATATATAAGACAAAGATAGGTTCCAACTTATATGTTATGTAATATCTATGAAATTTATTGCTTAAATTATGATACAATCAATTAAGTAAAAAATCTCGTATGACCAAATAATCACTTCTCAACACACACCTTGTTTTTATGTATATAATTGCAACCAAATGTAAAATGCTAAATATTTGTTCAAGTAAATTATTTTCCCTGAATATGTATGTATGTATATATACGATTTCCTATACGATTCAAATGCTATGGTAATAGAAAAGTAATTTCTATAAATATTTCTATCTTTATAAAACTTAAATCTTGATTATGTTATAAATTTATATATTACTTTTGAAAATGTATGAATAAATCTCATATTTTACATCAATACTTTACAAATCAGCATACCCTTAAGTATATCAGTTAATTATATTTGGATTTTATACAGCGTGGGGTTAGTTATTACTCGCTTAGGGCTAATCAACCCTCATCCTACTATACGGTTTTATCTGATTGGTCGAGCACTATATAGATGCTACTGTATCCCTATTACCCTGCATCGACCAAGTTATCATCCATGTAATTTATTTCCATAAAAACATATAAATATTTCCTGAAAAACCCAAAAAATTATCATCAATGATTCTATTATATACTGAATGTGTTATAAGAATTATGGATTTAATATTTCATTACACATTTACTTCCCTAACATGAATTATTAAGAAAAAATTGAGTTAACAATTTCATGATGAATTCATGACTTATACTTGATAGTTTGGAAAATAAATAAATGAGATATCAAAATAGTTAGAATTGTCATAAATATGAAAAATAAGTAAATGAAAAATTAATATAAAAAAACATTTCTGATACATAAGGATTTTTCTTAAGATAAATATTCTAATAATTGTATGTTTATACCTTATTATATGTATTTGTTGCATGTTATGTTATGAAATAAACTTCAATTGAGTTGCATATATTGAATGATAACATTTGGCACTTGTATGATGTAAAATGTTATTTTCTGCTCGGCATTATTTTGAACTTATAATTTCTATAATTTATATATCTTATGAAAGTCCTAAATCTATTATTTTTCAAATATTTTATAAATTTTGGAGAAAATGCACCACGACAAATTTTTGTTCTGGAGAAAATGCACCACGACAAGAGTGCGGCCTGGAGGCGATTTTGCTCGCAGAATACGAGCAGTCCTTAACGTCATGGATGGTCCTGTAGCACCAACCGGTGATTGCGTTGTCCATAAAAGGCAGTACATCTGAGAACAAGATGCGTATAGTACTTCATATTCCCAAGAGAAATCTTAATCGTGCTACATTTAACTCAAACCTCGAACACCAGATATGGATTTGTTACAGTTCGTACGGTTTTGATTGGATGTGTTTGCATATTCTTTCAGTACAATGATTTAAACAAAAGGTTATCTCATAGTTTATCGGGCACTATATATATCGATCTATCGGTGGTCAGAGCAACAAATAATACATACGTTGTCATATAATAATACGTGATGTATAAAAGTAACGGTTAGTTATCTCTCATTTAGGGTTAATTAACATTCATTCTATTATATATAATTTTATTATTGGTCGATGCAAGATAAGCAGCTTTGTTATTGGTCCATACAAGATACAGTAGTCAATAAGACCGTAGAGAATGGTGAGGGTTAATTAGCCCTAAGTGAAGTATAACTAACCCCATCCTATATAAAATCATCAACTAATAGATATATAGATATGACTATGAGTGAATGTGACTATGTTCTTGTGATATTCAATATCCAATAACAATTCTTAGTTTTATTTTGTACGTGGAGGAGCAAAACTGCGATAGACAGACGAAGGTGTCTACTATTGTTGACAAGATTCTAACTGATGTTTATGAGCGAGTTAGCTTGGCTTCGTTTCAATGCATCAAGAGATTGATTATTGGTTCAGGTCATCGATGAAGAGATGTCTTCCGATGCAATTGTTGTGTCTAGCTGCAGATTCTGCATTCTTTGAAAGTAAACTGGAGTTGTTTGGCGGACGAGACTAGAGTTGGAAAATCAGATGGGCAAGAATTAGAAGTTTGAGTTTAAAAGAGTACTCATAATTATGGAATTTTACTTAAAATCTCAAAATTAACTTTAAAAAAACTTCTCAGCGCTCATAAATTAAAGACTTATGGACTCCTTCCGTTTACTTCATGGACACAATCATACATGAAGTTGTTTGGAATGTCTTTAGCGTGCTAGATTCACGAGACATGCAAAAAAACTGTTTATTGGAGCTTGGAGGAAACCTCGAGCCACAGATTTCGGCATTTTTTGTCGACTGCATCCAGCTTTGAATTGGCAATTGCTACTCTAAAGATTATAAGAAAACAACTTCATTTCAATCTAAACATGCATTGAAAATTGGGTTGCAGATGGCTGAAGTTGATACAAGTAGAAACATTACATTGCTGCAATGTTTGAATTGACAATTTACACAAAATGACATGGTGTGGCAAATATTTTGTCCCCAATTGTACCGAAACTATCATCAAGGACAACATACAAATGCATGGGCCTAATATCAAGCTCTATTTAGGAATAAGAAGAAGATATTAAAATCCAATATATTGAGGAATGTTGAATTGTATTTTGACAAAACTTATACAACGTTCATATTCATAATCAAAGCTACAATAATTAACAAAATTTTATCCAATTCTTGAATGATAGTTTCAAGACTTGTTTTTTAATCCAAAAGAAAATGAGTAATACAATGGAAAACAATCACTCTAGCAAACATTATGAAATTTTTCAAGATTCAAGAGTAAGTCTACTATGATATTGACATTTTTTAAAAATTCAATTCAATCTTTGCATTGATCATATGACTTTTCATTTTGCTAGACAAAAACTATGATTGCATATCATCAAAAAGATACCAAGAATGCAAAAAATGGCTGAATTGAATGATCATATAGTTGATCAATATCTCTGCAACATTGTTGACATGAAGCTTCAAATTATTGCCCAAATTCTAGCACAAGTCTAGGATTTCACCTTGGTATTTGATAGAAGTGATCATCATGTTACAATTTTACTCAACACGAGTTTTTGTGTCATTGTTGAAAGTAGTTTAGATAATTTGCATCTTGTTGTGGTTTGACATTGTAGTTACTACAAAAAATATGGTCATGAAAATTTCAAATTGCATAGATCAATGTAAAACCTAAAACTTCACCTTGTGCATCGTAGTAGGCCGGTTGAAAATCTATGGCTTACATGTACTTGTGTAGCTTCCTTGTTACGACCGAGCTGCCAATTTTGTGAAAACTGAGTTATCTTGCCAATCTGGTGGGATGACGCATCATTATAATCCAGAAGACCTTGCATTGCTATCATCGCCTTTAAGGCCTTAAGCTCCTAAAATGTAACTCAAATTTTGATATGATGATACTCTCCCGCTTTGTTGTATCCTTGTACCAGTTAGCAACAAATACATTCATTCCATTAATGTCTACTTCCGTATCTAGATGACAGCGGTACGCTACCTTGTAGTTATAAAATTGACATGGAGTATGGATTTGCACCAGTAGAACATAAAGCAGAATTTTTTCTCTAAAAATTAATCTATATGCATGTGGTAATCTGTATTGAATCTTCTCGAGCAATACAAATATCACTAACAATATGTTCATCAGTTTTCAAATCACATCTTGTTGGCTGGTCTTTGGCAAGTATACGAATATTAGCACGGATAGCTTTTCTCATGTTTGCGATGATGCTATCACCCCTTCCGAGGAAGCATCAATTTGGTAGGAGTAACGCTTGTAGTGATGATCTCATCTGGGTCATAACCCAAATCCACCATACCGCTCTATATGTGCAATATTGCTTCTTGTGCTGGGGAGATGTTGTATGGATGCTTGTTAGCAAAAATAATTATAACACGCTCGTCTGAGCTTTAAATTGGATAGACAATTTTATTACGTGCACCAATGAACTCTCAAATATTGCGAACTATACTTTCCTTCTATCAACAACGCTTTCAATTTTCTTGTTGGACACAAGAGGATGACAATTCATGAGAGGCAACAGAGTCTGGAAGCACCAATAAAGCTTGAGAGTTAAAAAGGCAACCTCCATAAACGCCTCCATCATGTAACCCTGAAAGCAATGGTTCTAAACCTAGAAAAGATACATCATGTACAAGGAGTGTGTTTCTTGGAAGAGTAAGGTATCTTCCACTAATGTATCACCTCTTGGAGTATACATTCCCGACACATGCATTGCATCTACATTACTCTAGAGTCTCTCAAATAGGGATACCTTCTAACCAAATGAATATAGCTGCAATGCTTTCTTCACCACAAAAAACACATCAAAGATCTGAACAAGCTTGTCAAAAGCTAAGGCACAACCTAGTAGCGGTTATTTGGTTAATATCCTGATCTGATCACAAGTTTCATCGCTCATTTGTTCAATAATCTTGTCATACTTATGTAGCAAGCAACCAATCTGATTATTTGGAACTAACAAACGAGTCAAACGTGATCAATCTTGATCCTACGTCCTTGTCTTCCTCGTTGGATACAATGCTCCCTTTATCGTCCACAATTCTACCGTGAACTCTGAATGGAGCTTCTTAGGCCAGTGACTGTGAACTTCAAATTTGGAGTCATTTGAGTATCTTCCCGTTTGAATAGAGACTACTTCTCGCCTCAAATCTTACTTTATTTCCAATTTTGATTCTTGATTTTAATAATTTTTTAAAATTGAACACTAATGTTTCTGAATTCACAATTCAATCTTCGCACGCGGCCAACATGGACATGAGATATCAATAGCAAATCTACTTTCAAATCTCTTCACGTGCTATGTTGTCATGGCCAAACAAATTTTGATCAATGGCTTTAATATCAATTGTAGAATCAAGATTTAAAAAAAATCAAAAGAATATATAAGCACGTCCAAGAGAAAAAGATAAATACACAAGTTTGACCCTAACAAGAAATATGTGCTTTGCTTTTGTCTCGGACTACGTCTACATAAATAATAAGGTCATTACTAAAATATATTTAAAGTGTTGAATGCAAGTTGTGACTCGACTTTCTATACATAACGGATAGTAGAAACATAATTCTAGTACTTGTCAAATCAACTAGAGTCTATACAAGACTTGAATTCTACTAAAAATTTATTTATCATGTCATAAATTCCATTGTGAATGAAATGTATGTTGAAAATGAGATATTATATCCTTGTATTTGTTGAGATAATTTATAGAAGAAAGAGTATAATCATTCTAGATAGTTTTCATCTTGGGTCTTTCATCTTTGAGCTAGCTCTTCTTTTAATTCTTAGTGTTACAATTTTAGAATACATTGTGTTGCTTTGCAATTTTTGCAAGAACATCATAAATAAAATTTACTCATATACATTTTTTATTTCTATCATATATTGGCTATCACTTATAGCTAGTTAGCTTTAGTTTAAAGAAGATGATATATCAGCTTTTATAAAAATTATATAATTATTATTATATAAGTTATGAAGATTAGAATACTGACATCGTTTGGTAACTCAAGTTAGCTAGGTTAGAATTTGATTATATCTAAAATCCAAAATTCTATACCACTATTGCTATTTAATAAAACTAGCAAAAATTCTCAAAAACACTTCTTTGGATTTATCAATATTGATTTTGATAATGTTCTGGTGAGTTTGATGTTTAGTACCCAACATGAATTACGTAACAAGTAAAATGACAGAAGTATTTATTATATATGACAGAAATAATTATTATATATTCTTGTGAATAATGCAACTACAAGGAAACTTGAAAATACAATCTTATATTACCTTGCATTTTTTAAATATTCAACCACATGTTGAGATTTGACATCACACAACAATATTCAAATAACTTGTTATTCATATATAGTTTGTAGTGTTCTATTAGTGTGGAAATTAAAGTTTAAACCAGTTTGCAACTCAATGAGCTTCTGAACAGGATACTACAGCGTGTATATATCACTAAAGAAAGTGGTTATGAAAATGATGTAGTATTTGTCCGTGCACCCGGAGGACGAATGAAAAATTTATTCGTTATGTATAATAGATTTGATACTGAAAGAGTGAAGGATTTATTCAACACAAACTTTTACACATTAAAGAACAACCTAAATTTCTCAGTTTTCAAAAGTGGTATCCATCAGATCACATGAGAATTCATCACGTTTGGCAATTTGGCATTTGGCAGTTATCAGTTCCGACTTGGACATTGGAGCCTTATGAACAAGCTCTACAAATTTAGGGTGTATATGGGTGTTTTTCGACCAATTGACGACATTGTCAAACGCCATCAGTGACAAACCCTAATGGGGCTTCGCCATATGACTTCGTTCGCCTAGTATTACGTACAAATTCGTTTCCAAAACTATTTGGAACTCGAATGTACATGAGATGTCTGATGACGCTACAACTAGATACATTTGTTGTCGACTCGTCGGACATTTTATCTCATTGCTACATCCATCCTCAATGTTTTACAGTGACGATTTTGAAACCTTACAAGGACATGTTAAGCATCACCGCTCTGCGAATGTCGAAGATCATTGCTTGTAGCCATGTAAACTATCTTCTTGATATATATTGTTTCTCACCTGTCACTGGGTTCAAATAATACAAAAACCAAAATTAAAGTTCATGAAAGAGTACTTGGACCGACTAGGATTCAGTCGCACAAACCGGTTGGAGTAACAGCAGTGCACTTACATGGCGTGTGTTACATGGCGACAAGCAATGACCTGGCATTCCCTATGGTTTCTCGTCACATGGTACTACGTTGTGTCGACAAGTGGTGATCATTGTGACGTATGTACTAATGACAGATGATCACTGAGAAGGCTTTAGAATCACTCCATCCGACTCCATCTAAGCATGAGTACTCACCCATCCGATAGTTTACTACCATTTTTCCTTTTCCTCAGCTGGCTTGTCACCTGACAAGCCAATATCTTGGAAATCTATAGTTAGTAATAGTATATTTCTTGGAATATCTTGGAAATATATTTCCAAGATTTATCGGTAGATGTCCCCATACAAAAACAGACGTAATGTCTCGTCTCATCCATTCTGAATTTCGAAACAGCCGCTGTCAGGCTTCCTAAGACATCCGAGACTTGGGAGCACAGAACATCAGAGAGAAAGGGAGAAATTGGTGCAATAAGATCACTCGTAGAGACGGAAGATGCAAACGTTTACCAACGTTCAGCAATACTGTGGATCTCTCCAAACCATGGCACATGACATCAATTTGACACTTCAATACTCATCCACGTGCTCTTTTAGACGCGGTTCCAGAGAGCGATAGCAGTCAGAACTGAAAAACAGTCTAGTCAATTATTATATTCAGTATGACAGTTCGAAGCACACAGTTCTATGCTATCTAGTGCGTGTATACAAGAAATAGGGAGTTATCTAGGTTGCTGATTTATTGCAGGCACCACTGCCTCCTAGTAAAACCCACTTTCTGCAATCATAATTGTGGACGTAAAGTTTACATAACTAAAAAAGCAAGTTTACATTTTCATGCCAAATGGGAGTGAGCAGACTTCCGGCCGATGAGCTTTAGCTCTTCTGTATTTAACTTCTAGTTTCGGCTCAGAAGATCACAAAAGAATGGTACCACATTCTATAAGGAAGTTGCACCTAGATAAATTGAATGAACCTCAAAAACTTAAGACTTCACATTTAAAGCGCCAGTCCAACCAATGAGACAGTAGGTTGCACTTGGTCTCACAGACATTCGTCGCAGTAAGTTGAAGTTATAAGGTCCTCTAGTTTAAATCCACCTTGAGACTACTATACAAGAGTTTACCTGCGCGGTACCGATAAAGGCTTCATGAAATCCCCACCAAAATAGTGCTGCGAGAAACATTGAAAACCCTCTTGACCATTGAGGTGCGTGATCACCTCGTTTTCCTTGCCACCGTAGGGAAAGTGCGCCGATGAGACGTAATTTGAAAACCCTTAGTTCCAGCAGTTTCCAGCTTCATGGAAACTAAACAACTTGAAAGGTTCCAATGATTACAAGTTGCCTATCGTCAGGATCCATATTCAGACCTCCATAGAGAGCAGAGACGTCGAAGATGAATACTCAACACCATCTTCATCAACTCAGTCTAGCTGCAGTTGATCAACCCCTTTTCGAAATTTGAGCCTGTACGAACTCCACATGTTCGAACAGGAAATCCAAGACTCGTGTGAACGTCACAGATTCAGAGGTCTTGGCAGTTCTCACAGGCACCTTCCCGAAAAGCAGGCCAACTCGAGCCTTCGACATTAGTCCGGATAAACAATTACTGGCTTCATCAGCCTTTTTTCTGGCTGTTGCCAATGTGACCTTGAAGAGTGGGTCCCATCGAATGGGGCGATGGCAGACCGGAAATGGCAGTCAGAATGAACTTCCGACTACTCCTTAGACCAGGTGACGACCTTGCTGGAGAATCAAAAATGTTTCTACTATCTCCCCTACACTTTTCTCTCAGTCCCTCAAAGTGAGGGGGAGAAACTCTCTTTTGCTTAGGGGAACTTGTCTTGCTAATAAGGGGAGAATGTGCGTCTTCAGAATACCTCAGGAAGTCAGGAGTATCGTCGTCGTCTTGTGAGTAACACGCAAACTGACCCGACCGGCTGTCCCCGAACTTCATTTCTTCTTTCCCTGTGAAAGCTGATGACGACAGAGAAGGGGTGCAGGGAGTCTGACGGCTTGTCGACTGAGACATTCGTCTATTTGATGGTGACGGTGGAGAGTCATCTGGAGGCAACTGAAATGATGAAGGTTTGCCTAGAGAAGTGAAGTCCGCCAAGTCAGATTGGTACGAACTTACGGCCTCCATGCTTTGCCGATTGAAACAAGGAGATGCTCCAGTCCTCTCAAGGGTGGAAATCGATGCAGGAGTTGGTCTTAGAGGAGCTTGAGGTAGAGGAGTGAGAGTACAAATGTCACCGAGACGTTCCCAGCGAGGAGAGAGCTGGCTTATTCGAGTAAACTTAGGAGTAGAATTTGGAGAACGCTCTATCTTTGAAAGCTGGAACTCTGGGTTTTGATGGGCGCTAAAATTACCATCGCCACAGAGGTTCAAGGGAGACTGAGAAGAATCAGTCGGGGATCTTTGCAGAAGACCTCCACAAGGCTGAGACAATGGAGAAGACGAGCGCTTCTTTCCAAGAGACCTAGTTCTCCCAATGGCCCTGCCTTGCCTGAAACCAACACAGAGCGAGGTCAGTACCTAGCAATACCGAAATTGAATGAGATCGTCTCAAATAAGCACAAATGCAGGTTTTGTGGAGGGAAGTTCGGCTGTATGCATACCCAGTGTACTGAACCGATGGTGTGATCGGGGACAGGTCTTTTCCCATGTGACGATGTTGTTCCAAAATCAGTGCACTGGCATGCTCAGGCTTTGATAAGTCGTCAAAATCTTCTTGGGATTCTTTTTCAAGAGCCTCCAGAAGGATCTCCTTCTCGTCGGCTTCTTCGTTCGCTGAAACAGAAAGTGAAACATTAGACCTAGATTCAAAATTGCGTGAACAAAACGTGATAATCGTATCATATCGAACGTTATGCACGAGAACAATGGTATCAGTACCTTCTTTCCGACCGTACATATTCTTGCAACCTTCACAGCGGCATCCTTCCGAGCACCCTACACCAGCCTGAAAACACAGAACTTACTTGTGAGGAAACACAATAGGAAGAGACATTTGGTGATCCATATGCAACTTGAATCTGCAACGTTTCCGCTGTGGCTGAAAACGAGTGGAATTGGCTATATAAAGCTCATTTGCATGGGCTTCAAATTCGTCCTTAAAAAAAACGTCAATTAAAGGCCAATGTCGAATGCTCGATAATATCGTGGGTAATACCCAGATTAATCAAAATCACTTTATCTAGAAGTCCAACAGATCAAATTGTACCTGATAGCATTCGCAGTACTTCTTCAGACATAGAGACTTCTTGCAGTTGCAACCTCTTTTATGCCTTGCTGATGCGGGAGTGTCGATAACTTCCTCCTGCTTGATATCAACGTGTAAGGAATTAATAAACTTACTAGCGCAAGTCTTTGAAAGGTACAACAGAGACGGTGTTGTACACGCATAGATGACACGACTTCCAATCCAATGATGACAAAGTCTGAGCTAGTGCCATGCTCAGAAAAATGACGGGGTAAAACGATTACTGTACTTACTCCTCGTTTGGGTGAAGAATCGGCCGCGTGTATAATCTTCGGAGCAAATGCAAGAGGATTGCGAGATTCGATCTGCTGACGGGTGGCAAGAACGGTGTCTTCATGTTCAGGTTTGTTGAAGCAATCGTGGCATGTGCACGATCCAACACAATATGTGCCCGCAGCAAAACACTCACAGTACCTGCGGCGGAGGCAAATCACTCCAAAAATGAGTGTACGTCAAAAGGGCAATGTGCATCATGAGGACTCTGCAGCTACTTCAGTTATCCGCAAGGAAATCGGAAAGCGACTTACAACTTCAGGCATTTTGATTTCTTGCAGTTACAGCGCTTGCATCCTTCTCCAGATTTCTCGCCTGCAGATGTAGGGGATTTCCTGAACGGTCCAAAATGTGCAACGATAAGTAGAACGTTACGAAACAAAAACATCGACAACAATCATCTGCGAAGTTCATGGACAGACGAGTAAAGAGCGTGAAGAAGCTTCCAGTTTGACATAGCAGGTCACAATCGCAAACGCGGAAATAGATAGCCCCGACTGGATAATAGAGTTCGAAGACTGTTCAACTAAAAGATACAGGCATAGGGGAGATGAACCCCATATCCAACATCACGATAAACATCTACCACTGACGTGTTGGAAGTGAACGCCTAGCTATTTAGGCACAAGCATCTTGTATAGTATGATTTGCAAGTGGTTGACCTCTGAATATGATCAGACCCCGTTGTCAGTCAGATGCGTTGCTTATTGACAAACTTCATTCTAATTTAATAACTAGTCGGTGATGTACAAGCAAAACTTAAGCTCTACTCTATTTACACGTATGAAGTTCACAGAAGGGTGCGCATGCATCGCTCAGCTATCATACCTCTTCTTCTTGGGGCTCCGTGGACTATCATACTCCTCCGCATAGTCAAGATTTGACTGCTGGAGGGCGTCATGGTGGAGAAGGCGTTTCTTCCCAATCGGACAAGCTTTCTTATCTAAGACATCTGACCCCAGTGATCTGCTTTCGTCATGTGACTGCCTGCTTCCACCTGTCGAGGGATGAATGTCGTTGCTTTTGGCAATCTCCCTTGCCATATCCATGATAGGGGTAGTGTCCCGGGAAGGCATTCGATTTCGTTCTAAGAATGGGACTGAAACACCTGAGGTGTACAGTGACGTAGAAGAATTCATTGCGAAACACTTAGTACCCGGACCTATACCCGCCATACTCGTCGTGAAACCTTCACATCTGATTTCGTTTGGATTGCCGCTCATACCGCTTATCCCAAGCAGTGACGCGACGGCTCCTTTCGACGCCGACCCGATACCCAAAGATTGGCTCACATCCCTGTTGTTCGGCGAAAAGGAAATACTACCTGTTAGACTATTGAGATGCAGACCAGTATTACCCGTTAAGCTGTTAAGGTGCAGTCCGATACCAGAGGGTGCAGTTCGATTGGTAGAGGACTCTATCACAGTTCGGGTTGTCTCCACAACCAATTTTTCTGTGCTTGATATGTCTCTCTGAAAGCTAGTTAGTCTTAACAAACCAGGAGACTTCAAGTTGGTGCCACTTAATATAGGTCTGGGTTGGCCAGGCGTGTTGGATTGAGGTTCTTCGGTTGAGCCCACAGAAGGGCAACTGTTTGTGGCATCTGAAGTTGCCGCAGCCCTCTCACTAAGAACTGAAGGAGGAACGTTTCTCGAGGTTGTCAGCTCTGATGGCCCGACCACTGACTTGGGTCTCTGCCCCAAAGATTTCCTGGAGACGCCGCCTCCCATACTCTTACGGCGAGCATTTTCAAAGTCCAAACATCTCCTTCTAACTCCACGCTGACCAAAAGGGCCGCCCACCTGTGGGGGAACATCCGAGTATGTTATTATCACTAAGGACATGTGAAATCGACAAGTGTTTTCTGAATGTCTATTTCTAGTGGCGACATCACAACCTCCGAAGTAATTTTCAGCGAGCGCACAGGTTCATCTTCGTTTACAAAAAATGAGGCGCTAGTTCGAATTCGATAGCTCTACAGCTCAATTTACCAGTCCATAACTTTACCAGATTCGGTGCTACCCATGATCTGAATGGGCCGAGAACCCATCACACCGGAATCCGAGACAAAGTGCAGATTACCGTCTTCGCGTGAAAACAGGAAAAAGGCATATTGTAATAAAAGGCAACGTCCCCCGTAACCTCATTGGGATTTTCACCCACTAAGTTTCGGAACTAGCCAGAATTGTAAATTAGTTAACCATGGATAGACGTCGGTAACACGCCCTCATATTCTAGTAGTCCACCTACAGTTACAGGGGACAGAAGGAACGATGGTTTCATACGAGGTACTTACGAGTTCGTTTCTGTTGTCGTCATTACCAGTCCCCCTCAATTCTTCAACGGCAAGCCTGTTCTCGACGAGGCCATTAGAGGCACCCCCATCAAATTCTTCTCTGCCTCTCGGATGGACACCATCAGATATTCGCTCCACAGCCGAAAAGTCCGGCGACTGCTGTTGAGAAAATTCTGGGAGGGCAGCCTGATGAGCAGCGGACCAGTCGCTTCCACTACCCCCTTCACCGTCAACCTCGCCCACGAGAAGAAAGGCCATGGCTGCAGTCTCTTGGTCTAGTTGCAAGCTATCATCACTGCTCCTAGTTTCACTCCCATCCCCGTTTCTTTCATCGTTGCTTTCACAACTTGGTCTGCATCCGATGACCTCTTCAGTTTCCTTAGAGCAAACATCACCTGACTGAAAGAGATTGTCATCAGAACCGGCTTGAGGTAAGACGGTAATTCCAGAAACGTCGTGCGAATTCTCCTCATTAGCCGACGGCGGGTTCGTGAGTTGGGAAGAAGACGGCTCATCTTGGCTGGCGACATGGACATGATCCTCGCCGGGGAACTCGAACTCCTCGCAAACTGTAGAAGTTTTGACCATAAAGTAAGCCTTTGAGGTGTTGTACAGTCCTGACTCAACAGGTTCCGTAAGATAGTCTGAAACGTCACTGTATTCGTACTTTGATGGAGCATCTTCGTTCTTGTCAACCACCTCCTGCTTAATACCCGTTGACTGATGCGAAACATAGGCTAACGCATCATGAGATGAAGCGTGGCTAGATTCAGATTGGACAGCGGTGTAGCTCCTGGACACATAGGAGTGATTCGGTAGGTTCTCCTTGTCCACGCTCCAGGAGCTGTGACTAACAAAACTACTGACGCCCAATCCTCTGCAAGCAATCACACAATTACATGAGAGGCCAAACGGTGGACGTTGAAAACATGGTAGATGGCGGAAAGTATCAACGTGGGCTTCGACCAATGGCAGGCTAAATCATTCTGTTGAAGTCTGTTAATCCCCTTGAGGATTCACATGTGCTGCTAGGAGAGACAGACAGGAAGAATGGCGAGTAAATTCAGAGACAAGGCAAACAGCAAAGGGAACTAATTTGGAAAGAAGCATGCAGGAATCTTTGCCTAGTTCCGGAAGGGAAGTTTTCGTGACTACCATGGTCGTAATTCTACTGTATGAAAAACAAAATCCGAACGACGATGTTGGATTCCGACGACTCTAGTTAAGCCAAGACAATCCAAGACTTTGGTCTCCGAAGTGACTAATCGTGTATCATAATGTCTTCAACCAAAATTGGGAAGGTTAACAGTAAGTTAGTAATGCCTGTATCCGTATATGTTTGGAAACAGCTTGTCACAAAGAGCAGAGAGGAAAATGGTTCGCATGCATGGTACATGGAGGGCAATTTTCGGGAGTAAACTACTGATCTATCCCAGATATGAACTTTCAGCGAAGGCACTGAAAATAGAGATTCACCTTCGCACTCTTCCGCCGCACTTGTTTGGATTGGGTGGAGACGTAAACACAGCGGGCGGGGGTGGCATGCTGAGCTCGGCGTACGTCTGAACCACATGACGAGGCCTCGTGGACTTGATTGGAGATAAATTGCACAGATACTTGAAGAAAGGGGAACCCTGCAAGGTACAACGGACGCGCTGTTACTATTTTGTGATAACAGTGCACCTTGGGAGTTACAGCTTCATGACATCGCCACGACGACGAGGGCGGACATGACTTTTACGTTCTCAGAAAAAGACGTGCGCTCAATCCTCTGACTCAATGCTTATGACCCGTATCATCAAATGTAGAAAGTCGAGACTGAGCGAGCGTTCACCGGACCTGCGGTGTTGCACTCAGAGTGGCTTCATTCCTTCGGAGATTTCTAAACACGATAGCAGCCATGATCGAGGCTGACATTTATGCAATACATTTGATATTCAGGTGGCTTTGCCTGAAATTGAATATACACTTCAGACATAACTGTTCATCCGTAGTGCACGGTGTCGAAATGCTCGTGAGGTGATAAAATTTACAGAAACCGGGATGGTGGACTCCACGAGAAAATCCGCAATACGTTCCCGAAGGTCGTCACTATCTGGAGGGCTGCCGATAATGTCAACAAGTCTAATGCAGAACGTGATCCCTCGGAGAGAGATGTGTTGAGAAGTAGTAGGGGTGAGGCAAGCGCAGCCAACATAATCAGCGAAAACCCGACGCCGTGGTCGCAGTCGACGTGTACAAACAGTACACGCATGTACGGAACCGCAAGGCAAACTGCGGATGGGAGCGAGACAACTTTCCTCCGCAGTCTAGGCGTGGTAGATATCAGCCAGCTCTGCCCAGGAGTGAAGTTCGTAGACATGACACAGAAGGCAATGGAACAAACCCCTTGACAAGAGAATGGCTAGCAGAGCGCAGGCAATGGCAAACGGCCTTAAACATTTCACGATCCGCCAGATTCGTCCTGGTTGCCCGCCAAATTTTCATCGACAAGAAAATAGTCACCTCCGACCGACAAAATGGTTTGGATTTACTACGACTGGAAAGGTTTGCTAGCGTTGAGATCACTGGTCAAACTCCTGTAAGAGAGGTCAGGTATGGGTCTTGTAACCCAGTAAACTGTCCCAACTTCTTCACTCTTTCGTCTTCGTAACCCTGAGGAGTACTACGGTGTCAAGCCTGTGCATTTTTCCGCCCAACTCGTGGTGAGAACATGCACGTCTGCCAAACCTGCCTAATAGAATAATTCTAGACGGTGAGAACGAGGCAAATGAAACTGGGAGTGCCATCAAGAGGTGAGCTATTAGACACGCACACGTTGCGGTCGGTTGAGCTGCCAAGTGTGACACAACTGATCACAGCCATCAGGTGTTCGATCGCCGAATGAGATTGAACCGGCTATCTCGATGAAAGCAGTTTCGCGAGATGTGTGATCGTAATTTGATAATCAAATCAATCCAGCATCAACGCACGGCGAACACACCGCAAAATACTAAAACATGCAGCCACAACTTCATGGCGAATCCTACAATACGAACGTTGCTCTTCTAATTCTCGTATTTCGACGCGTACTGCCGCTCCTTTGAGCGTGCGCTGGCACGCAGAAAAAGGACGACTTACTTTAGTCATCGCTCGCGGTACTGCACTACTCAGTACCGTCGGCAGCCCATTCATGGTTTACTGGTTAATCACTGCTAGAACGATTGGTTGTTTGACAAGTGTCAGGCTAATGTGGAATCCTTCGCCCCATGGAGTCATCTACGCGATGCTCGTGGGATCTACAGGAAGTTCCCAGATGTTGTCGCGGAATTTGGGACGAGAAATTGGTAAATGCATCGTCAAGAGACGAAGACGAGAACCAACGGGTGCAGCGTGACCATCGATGACCGTGGCAGGCTACTGGTTATTCGCAAGTTTTGTCATAATAGTCGCAAAGGAAAGGCCGACTCGAATGTAATATGGCTCGCACGAATGAAAACAACATGTACAAGAGAGCCGACACTAACAGAATGAAAACTCATCAAGGGCGGCTCACCTGGTCGACGGGAGCGGGGATGTTGTCCTTTCTGTCTGGAGACTCCATGCCTCTACTCCCATGCACAGCTTGCGCAAGAATCTTTTGCGTCCGGGCCCCGCACTTCCCAGGTTACTGCATTGTCCTATGTACGCGTCCCCTCACTTGCGGACGAAAGGCAGACATCAACGCAGCCACATCAGCATGCAAAGGGATATCAAATCGAAGCGAGATGATCGGGCAGCTGCGGCCCGCTCAGTGGCATGGGTAGAAGTTTATATCAGAGGAGGCAACATTTGCCACAATATATCCTTTCGCTTTCCGTTAGACATTCGCGTCGATCGGCTGGAGACAGCAATCAGATGCCCCCAAATACAAGACTTCCAAGCCGAATGCAATCATCCACTTCTCCTTGTAATCGCAACACTAACGCGGACTGCGCAGTCACGACGTCCCTGCCCACTGTACAAATGTTTGATGCAGATAGCATAAAGCCACCTCCACTGCTAGTATCAAATCAGGACTCCACCCTTAGAACGGCATTCTACTCGCACATGTTGATTCACCCCCGAAATGTTCACGGGTAGCTCCTTCGCCTCCGTCGTGAAAACAGCCCTTGATCGGAAGACGTTGACCTCTTCACTTTGCTTACGCCGACGCTGCACACTTTAACGCTCTGGAACCCACCAAACTTCTTGCATCGAGGATCGCCAAGCAGGAGAGCTGGTCGGACTTCACTTCGAAACTAGAGCCACGGAACTGCTGCGGAAATGCGAGTTGACTGCTGATACTAGCAGACTCTGCTTTTCGTCCTCTGGGATCCAATGCCGCAACTGCTGGTGCTTGTTGAGAACAAACACGCAGAATTCCATGAAATCAAGGAAACAAAGAGTAGGAATTTGACCCCTGGCTGAACGCCTACATCGACGGCCTACGGGTGGACAGAATTTGCACGAGCTTCTTCACATTGCAGTGGGAGTCACGTAAGCAGACGACAATTCGCTCTGAGCTGTTCTCAAGGCCGCGATCGACTGCCCGTCCGGTAGCATCAAAAACTGAGCAAGAACCAGTTCTTGAGAAGCAAGAAGTTCCTTAGGACCTCCGTCCCAGAGACGACCACCCGCTCTACGCAGCGCGAACTCGACGACAACAATGGGAGATTTGCAGCAAAGAGACGGGAAATAGCTCGAAGAGACGGTGCAACGAGAGAGAGAATCTGTGGACGCTCCTCTCCCTATCGGGAGCGTGCCCTACAGAAAAATGATTCCTATTTTGAAAGCGATCAAGGGAGATTCCTATCTACGGCAGCGCAGGGGAGCTCGTCTGCACAGGCAGACGATGCGCGGCCGGTATGCACGGAGGCGCTGCGCAACGAAATGCTGTCTGTCAACGACAACAGCAGCAACAACAACAACAACGGCAGCAGCTGCTGCTCATGCCAAATCTCGACGACCTTGGACGCGACCGCCAGCATTCCGAGAGCAAGTGTGAACCCGGCGGGCCACCAGCAAGAGACGGAGGGAAAGGAAAGGATAGCGATCTGTGCGCGGAGGGTTTAGGGAGGGAAGAATGCGCTGCAGCAGCGCAAGCGGACAGAGGGATCGAGACGGTGAACGTAGTGCGCGGGAGCCCGGGAGCGGGAAACTGACGCGGCTGGCTAGGCGAGGCCAACATCTCCTACACCGGTCCGCTTCATCCTCTCTGCTCCTTCCGGTCTAAAGACTCGCAGGCCCGTCCCGAGAACCGGCTACGGGAAGATAACCAAGAGGGAGGGTGTCAGCAGAATTTGGACACCGGACGCGGGAAAGAACTTAGCGTTTCCCTGCCCGACGCCTCCTAGGCAGACCTGCGCCCGCCGCGTGTATAGCTGCCCCATGACCTTTATCTTTAAAGCTCCTCTTCTCCACTCCACGTCCACGCTCGCTCCCTCCCTCCCTCCCTCCCTCCCTCCTTACCAAATTTTCCCGCTCCTGTCTCTCACGCCAGCCAGCCGGTTCCATGCACCTTTCACCGACAGTTATCAGGGTAATTTCCCCCTCCCGGTCATCCGACGTTCCCCAGCATAAATGGACCGACATTTACATGGACCAATGACTGACTCCTACCCTCTGGGAGGGTCGGGTGCTTCAAACCCGTCTCGGCCTCCTGCTTCACTCCTCGTATGACTTCCCAGGTCTTCCTTAGATTCTCGACATCCGAGAATCCGCCAAAGTCCGGATTCCTTAGATTCTTAACAGTCGTCGGTCGAGTGTGGACATTCAGTTCCGACGTCCTTATGAAGGTTTCATGGCTCTGGCATACATTGGGCTCCATGTCGTCACTCTTCCCACCACGATCCTAAACTAAGTTTGTGGGAGATCTTATCGTCATCGCAATATTCATCTTCTGATAAAACTTGTCATCTAATGGTAACTACAAAGATACTGAGTGACCAGGAAACCCTTCAATTGTTACGAGACGAGCTGGTGAAGTGTACACTACAAAGCGTGTTCATTCTTCGTTTTTCAAGGGAGCGAATTGTCCATATAAATGAATGTACATGATTAACGGTACATGTTTTTATCTTTTCCTCTTGCACGTATTCAGTTGACGACGCGTGCACGACAAAAGAGATTACTCGGACGTACATCAGCATAAATCAGTTTCAAGGAGGGAAGGAAGCTGAAGAATCCAGAGATAACTGAAATACTTGTTCAATACTTCATTTTCCTTCTGAAGTGCGCAAAATAGTGAAACTATTACTCAGGATATTTGACCAAAGACGGTCAAAGACTGCATAGCGAGGGTGAAAGAAAGGAAGCTCCAGGGATCGAAATGTGTGATTATGCCACTATGGCGAGATTTAAACTCAAGTACAGAAATAACCTAACCACTTGTACTCATACCAAGCTACGTGCTTTCTCAACTTTTAATCGATGTGAAGTTTGCAGGGCCTTTCACAGGAATTCGTTAGGTCCACATTAACTTCATGTTTCTTAATTTGGCATACATGTGTACAGTTCCAATAAAGCCTTCAATATATAAGCATCTAAAAGAACTAACTGTATGAATCAATGCTTCTCGACACACTAACGTACTTCTAACAACCTAACGTATCTATGGCGAGTCTGGTTACTACCACAGCGAATATGTTGTAGTTGGGTTTGCATTTCATCCTGTCTTGATATTGAAAGTATGATTGATCAGATATGAAACAACCGATACATGCGAATATACACAAAACGACTGCAAAATTTCCCAGTTCTCACAATTCGAAAATGCATTAATAAACCAACTCTGATGCGAGTTTAATTCGTTTAGTTTCATGTGAATATTTTTGAATTTGATAAAACTTTCCAAGTTTCAATGTTATAACGCATACTTCTCTTCCACTAGTAATTTTATAACGACATCAAGAATTTATTACGTCATCGATATCGACTTTCCAGCAAGACACATAATATGCTAATAAGTCAATGTCGCTTCAATAAAGACCTACCTGCATTTTTAAATCCCTTAAAAATGACAGGCATTTTGAAGATGTGGAACAAGTATAACTCATTGTATCTCTCATATATGTATGTATGTACGTATATACACAATTTGTACTGTTTATATTACATCAATACGATTTCCAGCAACATTTTTATATGTGAAGACGGGTTGCTTTCAAAAATTCATTATTCTAAAAAAGTCATATTTCATAATTCATTCATTATTCTAAACAAATCATTTTGCATGCATAGAACTGTGTGTCTATTTAATAAATCGTGAATAGAATTAAAATTTATTGAAATAGACTTAATATGTAACTATTTGTATATGCACGATACTTTTACTGAGAGTTAAGTATTTCACAGCTTCACGCATTTCCTAACATGTATCGAGGTATGTTTGTCTATGTACAATTTTTCATTTAGCAATCATCCAAAAACGTTTACATATTCCAAATATATTTGAAGTATCATAAGATACTATTATATGGTTTTACAAAAATTAAAAATGATATGTGTGAACTTTACTATAATCAACAAATAACTTCTCACTTAAAGTTACTTTCCTATTCATTTGAATGCAATTTGAATCAAAATAATATCTCATCACCAATAATCGGAACAAAATAATTATTCATCACTAATGCATGTACCAAAACATAAGTCAACATTGAAAAATAAAACACACAAAATCTACCTCCTTCTTCTGATATATCAAACAAAAACCAGATCAAATCATGATAAGTATTGACACTATGTTCTTTCATTCCAAATTGATGCATACTAATCTTCTTTGATGTTGGTGTAGATGTTTTTTGCACCTACAGATAGAAAATCTCCATGTAGAAAGATCATACATAGCTTAACTAAGAACTTAAATGAAATGTAAAATTGAATGGAAATATTGTCATGTAGCTTTTATGATAATTAACGCTTAAAATAAGAATGATATCAAATACGTTATATGCATAATGCTCTTTTACAAAATGTCATTAGATTCTTTTCTGTAAAAATATAAAATTTTGTATAACAGATAAAAATTATAAATCAAGTAAATGTAAAAGATCAATCAACAACTAATTCAAAAAAATCGTTTAAATTATACCATTCAGTGTCCGTAAAAAGAAAAGGCTAAAACAAAGAGTGAAGGGAGAGTACCATGAAAGAGTCACTTATGAAACCACCATCTAAGTTATTGAGCAATTCCTACACCCAATATAATTAAAATATTTAAATAATATAATTTATATTTATATTTTATTATTCCAAATGTGCTAAATTGCAACAATTTGCTGGTTCTAATATGTATGTATGTATGTATGATGGTCTATTGTATAAAACAAAATATTTATTTTTAAATGAATTACGTTTAAAAATAAATAAATAAATGGAAAAACATATATACAGTCATATTTAAACATAATTTTTGTATTATATAAATAGGGAAATATATTCGTTCCAAATTTATTCATACGAATTTATATAAAAATTCATGCCTACTCAATTTTAATAACATGTCAACAAAGTTTAAAGTAAACAACACATAATTATTAAATACACATAAGAACAAATCAAATCTTCAAACATGTATCAAAGATAAATAACTCAATGTAAATGTGTATATTAGTAAATCTTCTTAGGAATTTTGAATTTCTTTCATATATTTTAAATCATTATAATACATTTAAATCAAAATTATAAGTAAAACACAAATTTTTTAATCATTTTTCATTGATTTTCCATAACTAAATTACTTTCATTTTTAATAATTCATTTTATCATGTTTAATGCAATTTTATAATTTACATGTTTTAATTATGTTAATTATTTTGAATAACGTATAATAAATAACATCAAGATTGATCAATAATCCAAAATATTTTGATATAGGGATTAAAAAAAATATTTAAATTATAATTAAAATACATGTTTTATGAAATATACAACATACTGATTTATTATTACAAATCTCAATACAGAATTTGATACAATTTTGAACTTTGAAAAAAAATTATTATAGCAACCCAACAAAAATTTATTTTTTTAAAATTTTGGTTTTCATGTAAATTGTGTGTAATTATTTTTCTTCATTAAAAACATACACTATACATATTATAAACTCCAATTATGTAGATTTTAATATCTATACTAATTTTAAAATTCTTACATACTTGGTTGATCGCCAAGCTCATTTTTTTAACATACTTGAATTACATCAAATTTATTTATGGAAGTTTTTAAATTAGATTTTCTGATATAAAACATTAGATTCAAATACCAGAAGAATATTAGATCATACATGTCTGAAAAGAAGATTTGAAAATAAATGAATCAATCATTAAAAAGCCATAATTATTGCAAAATTATTGATTAAAATTCTCATTTATCTTAAAAAAACAGATTAATAAAAAGTTATATTGTATTATTTTTTGTAACCTACCAATTGATGTTTAGTGCAATACTTCATTTAGAAATGTTGTTAAAATATTTAAAAAATGTAAAACTTTTTAACTTATAACGTACTCCAACAAAAAAAGTTTGAATTTCAGTGAGTATAAATTACTATAATTTTAGATATTTATTATTAAACTGGAGTTTAAAATCAACTTACATCATATATATTGAACTATTGAGAAAACATGAGAAATTTGCTTGATGTTACCACATTAGAATGCTTACTGCTTGATGGGACCCAATACGTTCCATTTTACGTGATGGGACCTTCAGTTATGTCCTTGTAACTGATTTGTTTCCAATTCAATGAAAAAAAATATTTCTTCCCGAATTTAAGTTAATCAGATTTTCCATGGCTCCCAATCTACATCGTGGAAGAGCCCAATTTCTTAAGTCCCATAATGATTTTACAGTTATAATGTATAGGCATAATCTACTTACTCCTTACTTATTTTTCCAAATCTCTTGGTCAAAATCATGTCAGTTGCGTATTTTGGTCCGTAATAAGCATTTCACTTTTCAACAAAGAGCTTCACTGTTTTTCCTAGCCCGGTTTGAAAGCAATTACAAGAACTCGCAGTATAACATCGGTGACGGTGGATTGAATTGCCGTCGGAAGGGTCCCATAGGGTAAAATTGAACTTATTGGGTCCCATCAAGCAGTCAACGTTCTGATGGGTTCCATCAAGCAATTTTTTCAAAAAACATTTATATCAAAGTGATTGATTGTGAAACGTTTTGAACATTTGTGACCATGATTTGTATTGACTTTTTGAAAAATATTTTATACGAG